CCCCAAAACCCCAAAACCCCAAAACCCCAAAACCCCATTTTCAATTATAAAAATGGAAAACTATGAAATTGGTTTAGAAATGGGCGAAGGCCGTCATGGAATCGTGTTTAAAGCTTATGACATCAGAAAAAGCAGCTACTGCGCAATCAAATAAATTTAAAAAGAGATTTGTGAGCCCAAAAGCTTGTAAATCTGAGCCTGAAGTAAGCATCCTGCCTTGAGTCCTTCATTATAATATTGTGAAAGTGAGACAAATAGTGTACCACAAGCATAAATTATACATTGCCATGGACTGTGCAATGGATACTCTTGAGGATGTATTCGAGACTGTAAGGGTAGGAACAAGAGTCAGATTCACAGATGAGCGTATCCGAGGTTATATGATGGACATCATGGAAGGAGTCCATGCAATTCATTCCAAACTTTATATGCATTGAGACATTAATCCTGAAAACATCCTGAGATTTGACAATAAAAGACTTAAAATAGGAGACTTTGGATCAGCCCAGGTTATTGCTAATGAGGAGAGGCTTCATTCTTATGAAGGAGCTAGGTCTTATAGAGCTCCAGAGCTTACATTAGGATCATTATCTTACACAGAAGCAGTTGATATCTTTGCTTGAGGATGAATACTTGCTGAATTTTTCCTTCTTGAACCAATATTTCAAGCTAAAACATCAAAAGAAATATTCATGGCTCAATGAAAAATACTTGGCACTCCTTCAGAAGAAGATTGGCCAGAAGGATATATTCTTGCAGATTCAGATGATTTTGATATTCCTTATTATCCACGTAATGAGCCAGTAGCAGATAGACTGATGGCATTAATCCCAGAAATATCTCCACAATGAGCAGACCTCTTATCTAAAATGCTTGAATTTAATCCAAAATAAATAGAATCACGTCAGAAGAAGTTCTGAATCATCCTTTCTTTGATGAGCCACCTCCTCGGGTGCCAACTCCAGACTCACCTATAAGTGTGAAATCAGATATAAAAGAAGCTAGCCCTGTACTGTGGTCAGAATCTTGTTCAGATGGAAAGACAGAGCTATCCTTGCCTCCTCTAAACTCCACTATACAGTCTTCATTGCTCAAGAATGGCTTTGAGAGGGCAGAGACGCCTCCTGATGTAGCAATGATGACCACCGTTCCTGCATCCGTTCTGCATAATCCAGTACGAGAGTTGAAGACCAAGCCAGGTCATGATTCATTTAGCTTGCCACCTCTCGTCTCTTCCAAGAGTGAAATCAAGTTCATATAGCCAACTATGAGAAAGATAAAATCCTTGAACAGATCAGACAGGAGCTGGCTAATAGATCTCTACAGAAATAACCCTCACAGAAATGTGGAAGATCAGCCTGAGTTCGTTTAGAAATAAGCTCTTAAATCCTACTGAAGAACACAGAAAGGAGAAATACGAGAAGAATAAAACTGTTTTTGAGAAATACAAAAATTCCTTTTCACAGTTTCAAAGCCAGCGTGAGAAGGGATACCAGCTTAGAGATAACCTGGGCAGTCAGACCATGAGGTCTGACTGCCCTAAGCCATTCAGTATCACTAAGAGGAGCCATAATTCTACACTATAGGATCCCATTTCTCTTCTATAAAGCCTGTGAAGGAAGAAACCATCTTTGGAGATGATCAAATTCAGGAATATTGGCAAAGAGAAGACCAAGGCCGGGGTCTTCATCATGCTATACTTCAAAAGGAAGACTCTGACCAAGTAGATTTTGATGAAATCTACCAAGGGTCAGTCAAGCCTTTCCCGCTGAAGAAGCCTATGAAGAAGAAGGTGAGTATTGATCCAGTGCCAGCTTTGATCCCAAAGCAAGGCCCTACCAAATCCATTCTTAAAAAGTAGCCTCTCGAAGGGTATGTAGATTTAATGTTTCAAGTAAATTCTCAAAATTAGGGGTTTTGGGGTTTTGGGGTTTTGGGGTTTTGGGG